GTTGACAAGTTTGGCATTTTTTTTTTTTTTTTTATGGTTGAACTATATGGACTTGTCTTTTTTCAGCCAGACTAACTATGTAACGCAAGCCCATGTTTTATATTATGCAAGCAAAAAAAAAGAAAATGGGTATAATATTGTGAAAATAATGAACATTCACTTTTGTGTACTTTCCCCTGAAAATATTGATAAAATAACTGCGCAAATATAAAATACAGCATAATTGCAACTACCATGTTATTCTATCATCTGCTTTCAGAAAACTTATATGGAAAAAAAAAAATTATATATATATATTTATATATGCAAAAAAAAAATGAAACCATTGCCCCAGTGGATAAGTAGTTAAAGAAGCCACTAGTAGGTTTTCAACAAACTTCAAGTAGTGTTGAAGCTTACCAAAGCAGGCAGCTTCCACATGCACACATCCCTTTCAACCATGTCACATAGTAAACAATATTCATGAATATAATCCACACATTACATTTTTACTATTGTGTGTTATATCTGTGATTGGTCACTAGTGATCAATGGTACTTGGCCAATCACAGCAGCCTGTACCATGTGACACATGTGGGACAATCACAGCATCATAATAGTAAACAATGAGTCATGAGTAAGTGATTGTAACAAGCAATCAGTGTTAACAACCCCCCCCCCCCCCCCCACAAAACATACCACACACCCACATCACCCCCCTCCCCTGCAGTATGGTGAACCTGAACTAATTTAACCACTTAACCCATTTTTAAAATCCCAAAACCACCAATTTAGATCAAGGTACATTACCAATACAGAGGGATAAGAACACCTCTCAGGATTGTAATGCTCTATTACCCCCATTAGGAAGATTCAACTTATTTGTCCAGTTTACCATTATCATTGAAAGTTTTAAAAAAAATCCCAAATTTTGTGCTGTCCCCAGAACAGAGGGGACATCTTCTAAAGGGGACACTAGTCCTGGTGAACCACTGGAATTCCCTCACTTTGAAGAGATTTTCCCCACACTTCCTGTGTTGGCTATGGGACAGAAAGTGAAGCGATATCTAACAATGGGAGAAAAAAAAAACAAAAACGTTTTGGATTTGCCATTAGTTACACTTTATTATCAAAACCATGAAACAAAATGATTGACTGTAGTGGTCTTGACTCATTTGGCTGCGTCACAATCAAAAGTTTGACACCGCCTAAATATTACTGCGTATAGACAGCATTAGTGTTTTCCCCTCCCTCCAATGAAAGAAGTCACAGAATATTTGAAATAATGTTTGTTTATTAACTCAATAAGTTACTTGGAAGGAAAAAAAAACTCAAAGATCAATTGGCATGATTTGACATATTACAAGGGAAGAGGCAAAAAATAAAATATAGCAAACATAAGCAATTACATATATGGCAGTGATATCAGAAGTTAGATCCACTAAATTACCATAAAATGAACTGTAACTAATCTCATGCTCCTGGTATATATGTCATTGCATCATAGTGCCAAAAAATAGAAAAATCTACACTATCTCTATAGAAAACAGCAGCAAGCCTATCAGTTTAAACCTGACTGCTGAAGACATCAAGCATAAGGAAAACAAAAAAAAAAAAAAAAAAAAAAAAAAAAAGGAGTATATTTTCAAAAGAAATTATGTAGGACAAACATACTTCAAAATGAGTTTTTGAATGGATTTCCAGGCAGTGAACGCATTAAATAGCACCAGTATCTGTCTACTCAACAGTCACACATTGTGCCAACAGTTGAAAGCTGACACATGGGTTTGTTAAAAGGCACATGCATCAGTCATAGGTGGCACACTGTCACAACATCCTTCACCAGTACCTGTTCCAACATGAGCGCCAGTCACATTTAAGCCAGAAAAAAAAAAAACACTAGTAATAAATATTCTTCCTAGGAAGATTTATACAAAATGTAACAATATATTGACCAATGGCATTATCTACACCTCCCACAAAAATTAGTTGTCCCATGCCATGTTCCACTGAAAACAATTTTTCTTATATCTGAAATTCAGACATTATTAGAGATCTAAAAAAAACAAAAAACAAATCCTAGCTCTAATTTGTTCATTAGGCTTGGTATATACAAGCACTCACATGTAACAAAATCCAAGTTAAATTGATCTTTGCATAAAAATGCAACTTTATCTTGCAGCCACCTATCATAAAAACACTAAGGGACATTTTGAGCAATGGATGTGACATTCACTACAGGCACGCAATTTCAGGTTGCAATATATTCGCCTGCAGTGAATTTCCATTCACCACTTTTAAAATATGCTAAGTGAAAGCAAATATATATCTCTTGTGAAGGAGCATTCTCACTGGATCTGGGTTCCTCAGCTTTCCCAACATCCTGTGAGAAGGTCCAGGGAGGTCACTCCTGTACACAAACGTGCTGGAAGCCAGAGTGTTAGGAATTCCCTACATTTTCTTCCAAAAGTTTTGATCTCTTTTTAAAATACTTTCACTGCAAAAAAGTTACATTTGCATTTTCAGGCAAGGTCTTCTTTAACAATCTTGCAATTCCCTTGACACAATTAAAAAATAGTTTGCATAAACCGGCATCTAGCCTGTCACAGTTCTTTAACCATCAAGACACTTTCAAAAGACTTGGCAAACGGCACCATAGAATAGAAATGTAAAGTAGAAAAGTGAAGTGATCACCAGTACAAAGAAGTCTTTGGATAGGGGTTAGAGTGGAGCTCCGGATTATTTGAGGTAGTTGCTGGTGATGACACACGTCAGTTTTTAGAGAATTCTCTTATTTGCATACATGTAAACCCGTTGCAAGCCTTGCATGTAACACTCATGGAAGCTGCAATGCCTCACTCACCCCACTGGCCTTTGGGGAAAGGGAAGGAGTACAGATACCATAAAAGTCCTCACAGAAGCTCCCATTCCTTTGTCACACTTCAATCTCCCCCCCACTCCTGGCCTTGGGTAAAGGAACTGATCACATACATGTACATTCTCCTGGAAGCTACCATGCCTCAGTCACTTGTCAACCCCCTGGCCTTGAGTGAAGGAGCTGATCTAATACATGTAGTCCCGATGGAAGCTGTCATACCCCTAGCCTTCGATGAAGGAACCGATTTCTACATATGCAAGTCCTCCTTGAAGCTCCCATTCCTCAGTGATTTTACCCCCCAGGCCTTGTGTGAAGAAGTGGAACCCATACATCTGGTCCTCATGGAAGCCACCAAATGCCTGGTCATAGGTGAAGGATCTGATTCTATTCAAGAAGTCCTTCTGGAAGCAACCTTGCTTCAGCCATCTTACCCTTACCCCCTTGGCCTTGGGTAAAGGAGCTGATCCCAGATGTTGGTTCTTCTGAAAGCTGCCATGCCTCAGTCACATTATAGCCTCCCCCCTAACCTTGGGTGAAGGCAGATCTGTATGCAAGTTTTCCTAAATGTTCCCCTTTCCCCAAGCCAAACGTTACCATATGGCCCTGGATGAAGGATCTGATCCCATACATGTGACTGAGTCATCAGAGCTTTCAGGAAGCTACTCTTCCCCCCCCCCCCCCCCATTGGCTATGGGTGAAGGACATGACCCCCCCCCCCCTCCCATATACATGTAGTCCTCCCTGATGCTGCCATACCCCCTACCCTGGGTGAAGGAAATGATACCCTCCTGAAAGCTCCCATACCCAATTGCCCTGTGTGAAGGGTTTGACCCTACAGATGTAGTCTTCCTGGATGGTCCTATAACCCCCACCCTGGGTGAAGGAGCAGATTTCAGATGTAGTCCTCCTGGAAGGTCCTATAACCCCCACCCTGGGTGAAGGAACTGACCCCATAAATGTAGTCCCTCGGGAAGCTCCCATACCCAACTGCCCTGGGTGAAGGATTCAACCCTATACAAGTAGTCCTCCTGGAAGCTTCTATACCACCCACCCTGGGTGAAGGAACTGACTCTATAGAAGCAGTCCTCCTAGAAACTCCCATACCTCCACCCAGGGAGATGGAACCAACCCCAGAGATATGGTCCACCTGGAACCTCCTATACCCCTAACCTGAGTTCAGGAAAAGACCACAGATGCAAGTCCTCCTGGAAGCTCCCATTCCCAACCGCCTGGGTGAAAAAACTGCCCCCCCCCCCCACATAGATGTAGTCCTTCTGGACGCTCCCAAAACTCCACCCTGGGTGAAGAACTGATCCCTCATAGATGTAGTCCTCCGGGAAGCTCCTACCCAACTAGCCCGGGTGAAGGATCCAACCCTGTATAAGTAGTCCTCCTGGAAGCTTCTATACCACCCACCCTGGGTGAAGGAACTGACCCTATAGAAGAGTCCTCCTAGAAACTCCCATATCCATCCTAATTGTGGGGGTGAATAATTGACCCATAGTTCTCCGGGAAGCTCCTATACCTCCACCCAGGGAGATGGAACCAACCCCAGTGATATGGTCCTCCTGGATCCTCCTGTAACCCCTCAACCTGGGTTAAGGAAAAGACCACATACATGTAGTCATCCTGGATGCTCCCAAACTCCCACCCTGGGCAAAGAACTGATTCCTCATAGATGCAGTCCTGGAAGTTCCCATACCCAACCGCCCTGAGCGAAGTACTAACCCTATTAAATAGTCCTCCTGGAAGCTCCCATAACCCCCCACCCTGGGTGAAGAGTTGACCCATAGATGTAGTCTTCCTGGAAGCCCCCAAACCCCCACCTTGGGTGAAGGAGCTGACCCCCAGAGATGCAGTCCTGGAATCTTCCCTACCTCAGTCACACATCACCCCCTCCCCCTTGGCCAGGAATGTGTCCCCCATGCATGCAGCAGCCAGGAGCTCACACAACTTCAGTCCCCATATTGCAGCTACTCCAGAGAAGAAGTAGTCCCATGTCCCGGAGGGGGGTGCCCGCCTCCTCCACCTTCTCCCAGCAGTAGATGTGTACAGTAAAGTGCGGTAAGTAGAGCAGGTCTCCTCCAGCATTGGTGTAAACAGGCTGCCCGCCCCCAGGAAAGTGCAGACAGCTGATCGGCCCTCAGGAGGAGGAGAGGACGGGGAAGCGGCGGATCCGAACGACCGGCTGCAGGTTGACCTGTAGGATCCTCTGAGCCCTCAGCCGGGCGGCCGCCACTTTGGCCTCACAGGACACGTCCCGGACCCGGATGGTGGGGAAGGCGCTGATCTTCCACATGTCCTCCAGCGGGCTGCTCAGGGAGCTGGATGCCTCGGACGGGGTCGGGCTGCTGCAGCTGCTGCTGGCTCCGCTCTCCTCACTGGCGGCCGGCTTCACCCTCCGCCGCTTCCTGCAGCTCAGCCTCATCCCTCTCCGCTTCCTCTTCACCGGCGGCGGCTTCTTAGGCTGCGGGGCGGGCGCCGGTTCCTGCGCTTTCCTGCGGGAGAGCTGGCTGGGGTCCGGCACCACCGAGCGGCACGACGAGTAGCCGTACACGTCTTTACTGCGGAGGATGACCGGCGAGAAGTCCCGCTTCAGGCTGCACAGGAAGTTCCACAGCTCAGTGTCCGAGTTCATGAAGTGCTTCGACTCCGGCACGAAGATCTCCAGCGCGTCCTCCAGCGGCTTGATCCCCGCGAACACCAGCTGCGAGCGGGAGTACACAACTTTCTCGTCCTCCATCCCTCCCGCCGCCTTTGTCTCTGCTCGGGCGGCTAAAGAGTTAACAGCGAGCGAGAGGAGACAGACTGAGAAGCCGCTAAAGCGCCCCCCTTCTGGCCGTCCGATTTAACGCAGGAGCCTCTGTCACCGGGTACACACAAAATGGCCTCTTCTAACGGCCCCTACTGTTGCCTATATAGCCGATTCTTTGAAATACGACGTACCCCAGTCCCGCCCACTACTGGAGAGCCGCCGCCGTTATTGGCGCACTAGCGCACATCTGCTCAGGCATTGGTCGGCTGTGAAACAATGGGTCGGGCTTGCACGGGCGTGGAGGGGGTGCGTTGGGTGGAGCAATAGATGGCGAATGTGAGGAGTCTCACTAATGTCGGCCATGTTACTGGAGTGACTGAAGAATGGTTCTCCTCACTTTGCGTGATAATGAGACTTTTACTGCTCCCATTACATGGAAACTGAGCCAGTGTGTGTGTTCTGAAGTACTTTTATGTACACACAGCAAGTAGACTAGTTTCAGCAGTAGTCTTAGCCCAAGGCAGCCATAGCTTTGAGTATTAGTCAAGGTGGTGGCAGTAACTTCACCTCAGAGTCTCTGACTGAGAAAGTTCATTTTATTTTTAATTTAGTCAAGTGAACAGTATAAGAATGTCCTTTAGACGTGCGTGAAGTCACTGTGACTTTACTGAGCGAGTGAGAACCCCATTAATATTGTGGTACTTTGGTTGGATTAACTGACCGACTACAAACTTTCTCAGCAGCAGTGAAATGAGAACTTTACCTCTCAGCCAAAACATTTCCAGTATAACTTTTTGTTTTATTGCAGCAGAGCCATACGATAGGCTCCATTTTCAAAGCTCGCACACCAACATAAGTGCGCTTAATTTAGTAAGTTAGCCTTTTGGTTCCTTTTGTACCACCCAGGGGCGGACTGACAACTCATGGGGCCCCGGGCAATAGGGGATCATGGGGCCCCTGTATCCTTGCCCACACTCAAACCACACCCAAAAAAGCCTATGAAAGGTACCAGGGGCATCTCATGGGGCCCCCTACTGACCCCGGGCTTTGTGCTCGAATGGTCAGTACGCCCCTGGTACCACCCCACCCAACGTCAAAGATTGTTCTTGTGGACTCACAAGTCCTACACTGTAGACCGGGTTTTCTCAACCAGGGTTCAATGGAACTCTAGGGTTCCTCCAGATGTTGCTAGAGGGTCCTTGAGCATAAACAAGTTTCCCCTCTCAGATAGGTTCCCACTGACACCATTGATCTTTTTAGCTATCTGTAAGGAGGTAATTCTTCCCAATGACCACAAATGTAAGGGGCAATCTTCCCACTGACCATCACACCAATGTATCATGAGTTGCAGATATAGTCATTTTTAGCAGGGGTTCCCTGAGACCAGAGTTATCTCAAGGGTTCCTTTGTGTTGAAAACGTTGAGAAAGGCTGCTGTAGAGTCATTGAAGCCATATCTTGCAATGATGAGGACTAAGAAGCCGAAAACAGAAGTATACAAGTTGGTAATACTGGCTCTGTAAAACTACGGGGATACCCTTGCTTCACACCAGTAGCTCTGCACTGATGGCTAAAAAGGGCAAAAAATGAATGATTTGCGTGACTCCTCCCACTTACCCATAAGCAAAGACTGAGCTCCTTGTTTTTTTGGTTTTGTGCGGAAATGAGGATGTGTAAATACCTTCTGTTATAAGAAATCAATGATGTACCTCACAGTACTTTAACCACTTCAACACCACCGTACGTATATATACGACCTAGTATTGAAGCAGTTATACCGGGGTCATGGTTGAGGTTACAACCATGTTCCCAGTATAATTTTTTTCAAGCAGGCAATTCTCTTTTTCGTAAAAGTAATCCAAGTGGCTATGCAGCCGCTGGATTACTTTTACAGGCAGCGCAAGGGTTCCCACCCCCCTCTTGCCACCGCTGCCTCTGCCACCTTTATTGGACTCTCCTGTCCAGTCATGCAGCCTAGTAAAGATGTGATCTGCTGCCCCAGACACAGTGGGGGGAACTGATGTTCCTCTCACTGTGTGACGTCAGAAACTGGAAGCGACAAGGATTTTGTCACTTCCAGTTTTGGTTTACAGTTTCTGATTTCTGAAGCAGCAGATCAAACCAATCTTTGATCTGCTGCTTTGGAGACCAGAGGACAGATCTGGGGTCTAATAAACCCCAGATCTCTCCATAAAGAGGAACTGTCATGGCCATGCTATCACAAGGGATGTTGTTCATCACTTGTGATAGCAATAAGAGTGATAGAAAAATAAAGGTAAAGTGTAAAAATAAATAAATAAAACATTTCTAAAGCGCCACCGCCCCCCCCCCCCCCATGCTCACACACAAAGGCGAATGCATGCATTGAACATGTGCGGTATCACTGCTAACATCAGAGTTAAAGCAATAATTCTAAGGCTAGATCGCCTGTATAACTCTAAACTGGTAACTTGTAAAGGCTTTTAAAGCATCGCCTGTGGATAATTTAAAGCACTGTAGTTTTTTGCCATTCCACAGGCATGTGCAATTTTAAAGTGTGACATATTTGGTATCTAATTACTCTGCATAACAACATCTTTTATATTTTACAAAAAAAACCTGGGTATAACATTGTGTTCAATAAAATTCATTAAAACTTATATTTTCCAAAAAATTTGTGTTTGAAAAACTACTGTGCAACTACTATGTGACGTAATAAATTGTAGCACCCATCATTTTATTCTCTAGGGCCTTTGCTTAAAAAATATACAATGTTTGGGGTTCTAAGAAATTTTCCAGCTAAAAAAAAGAAGATTTTTTTCATGTAGCAGAGAAAAGTCAGAATTAGCCTGGTAAGCAAGTGGTTAAAGGTGGGCGTTTTGGTTCCTTTTTTATGATCTTACTGCAACCAAAGCCACCAGTGTAACTGTTACAGTTACTAAAGTGCTTATGTAGGCTCTCAAACAAACTGTTAAGACCTCAAAAGGCTTGTTTCATAGGTGATCACATGTGCAGCAACTGCAGATTAAACAGAGGATAAATGGCAGCTTTCTTGGCTATAAAGGGTAGGATGGTTTAGTTCTGCCTTAATGTGTGTACTGTTCCTCAGTCTACACTTACCTTAACCCTTTTACTGCCACTAACATCTAATTTGTCAGTGGCTTCAGGGGGTTTCTCACACACACCAGGCAGCTATAAATCTGACAAGCCAACTCTCCACCGTCTGTACCGCCACCAGATCACCTCTACACACCCCGATAACTGTTGGTTCCCCCCCCCCACATGCACTTCCTGCTATGTTCCCCTCGGCGGACCCAAGATCATGATGGCAGTTGCCATGCATAAAGGGGAAGCAGATCAGTAAACGTCTGTTTGCGAATACTCCATTGCTCCTGATGACCTGGAAAAGACATGTAAAAAGTCACTTCCCAGTTTCGGTGTTACTGTCCCCAGCTAGTATGGATGAGGAAGAAGCTAATAGAGTGTGATCTGCACTCCATTGGATTCATTTTAGAGCAGGTGAGACACCAGGGGTCTTTTAAACTCCTGATTTCTTATTAAAGAGAACCTGTCACCAACAATCTTTACACAAATATATCTTTAATTGTGTGTCAACGTATCCAAGCTTTACAGTGGCCAATGAACTGTTTAAACACTATAAACTATGCAAGTCTCTATAAATGCTTAAAGTATAACTGAACGCAAAACTCTTTTTTAGATTAGGATAGAAAAGAGAGGGATTAGAACACCTGTTTGGTTTTAATTGCTGTCTGTATCCCCATTAGGGGGATTCATCATCTCTGTTTGTCTTGTTTACCATTATCATCAAAAGTAAAAACAAATCCCAAATTTTGGTTCGTGTCCAGAACTGGAACTGGAAAATCTTTTAAACACTAGTTCTCGTGACAAGGGTTTTGCTCACTTTGCTGGGATTCTCTCTCACTTCCTGTTGTGGCTATGGGACAGGAAGTGAAGGGAAATCTCCTCAATGGGACACAAATGGCAACAAAAAAACTGACCCTCCAATACTTTATCCAAAATTAAAAAAAACTCTTAGTTCATCTTTAAAACCAATCCCCCCTTTTTTAAAATAATCTCCAAGTAGGGTTTTGAGATGAAAAAAAAGTAGTTCTGGCTGTACCTCCTTCAGCACTGTTCATCAATTATTTATGTCACTTGATGTCCTCAGTCATTTCTCAGAATCATTCATCCCAGAAGACTGAGGTCATACTGTGGGTACAGTACATCATGGACCCATTCCACTGGCATCACAGTAATCTGTACTCACAGTGTAATCATGCAGAGAGTTTGTACTGATGTCATCACATCAGTGCTGCTCTCTATCATTGAGGACTGCCCATTGCCTAGAGGAGATTTGAGAAGGTAGTACTGTGACCAGCCTGAAGAAAGCTTAAAAAAGGTAAATATGAAAAAAGTCAACAGCAGGGTGTCTTCAAGAGAGGATTGAATACTGGTGTGTGGAAGGGCGTAGTGTAGGGGAAGAAGGAGTACTGGTGGGTGGGAGGGTGCAGCCTTAAGTTAGACATTAAAGTGGACTTGATCTCAACAAGTGAAGAACTATGTTATAGGAAAATCTAGAAATTAAATTTGTGCCTAGGCAGTAACCTAACTGATATATTTTTTTTTCTTGAATTCCTCCTGAAAAGTAGCAGTGCAGTTCTCAGTATGCTGCCCTGACTTTCTCTGTGTTCCCTGTCAACTGCTGGGTAAATAGGCGACACACACCCCCCAGCTTTGGGAATGGTCTATTGTTCAGGACGCACCTTACTTAACAGGTTCCCGCCTGGCCTATAGCCAAATGGCGGCCTGCAAAACCCCTGTCCCTCCGGGTGGACGCCATATGGCATCCTTTCGGCATGCCCGCAGAGCTGCGCAGCCGCACGATCTGTCACCGGCCGTGTACCTCGGACACGGCCGACGACAGATCTGAGTACCGACCTGTTGCCGGTACCATGTGACCTGCTGTGACCAATCACAATATACACTGGCAGGTCACTGATGAGTCATGGAGGAACAAAATTGTACAGTACAATGTACCATTCTGCAGAACGAGACTGGACCACATACTCAGAAATTTGTTACTTTTGGGTAAAAGCTTCACTCTTTTGCTAGGACTAGGCTACTGCCGTAGCCACATCACCTCTTTAGGTAGTGAAAATACTGGGTTCTCTCCCTGTGTCTCTGCTCAGTTATACTCTTCCTGTACTTAGATGAGGTTTACCTGAGGCCTACTATTAGGCTTTCTTCCAGTAAAATCAGGGATTTTTATCTCTTCAGCTTCTTCATTCACATCTTTGGTTCTTGGTTCTTCTTCCTCCTCATCTTCTTTCCACTTTGCAACCCCACTGTTGACTCCTAGGAATGGGGTGTTCTAGTTTTATGGCTTCCACTGTATTTTTGTGACTGAGTCCCTGCAGATGGCCAAGCTTGACAGTCCCATCACAGGGATGGTGCCTTTTCCAGCTTTGCCTGCCTCCAAGGTGGTGTTAACTGTCCCCATAAGAGGGCATGCCCTCCATACCCCTCAAGTACTCCTGTTTGTTGCTGCAACATGGATATCTCTGTTTGGAGCAGCGCCATCCTTTCCTTAAATCTCTGGACGGCCAACTCCCACAGGGCTGTCTGTTTACAGCATGTGTCTGCTGCTATGTCTTGCAGTTCCCGTTCATATTGAGGGATCAATGCTCCCCTTCTCTGCCATTTGCTGATGAAGTTGGTCATTGGGTCCTCTAATGCAACCACTTGGCTATACATTGCTTCTAAGTGATGATTATCTTGTCAAGAGAATCATGGTGTTCTGCTGGGATGTGCAAGATCAACCTTCTTGCTTGCCCCTCTAGGGCATTAATGGCCAGTTCTGCCTGATAAGCTGGTGGGATCCAATATTGGGCGGCACAGTGGCTTAGTGGTTAGCACATCTGCCTTGCAGTAAATGGGTCATGGGTTCGATTCCCGACCCTCCTGCATGGAGTTTGCATGTTCTCCCTGTGCTTGCGCGGGTTTCCTCCCACACTCCAAAGACATGCTGGTAGGTTAATTGGATCCTGTCTAAATTGGCCCTAATATGTGTATGTATGAATGTGAGTTAGGGACCTTAGATTATACACCCCTTGAGGGTTAGGGACTGATGTGAATGTTCAACATATATATATATGTGTGTAAAGCACTGCGTAAATTGACAGCGCTATATAAGTACCTGAAATAAATAAATAAATATGATCAGAATAAGCCCGAAAATCTCCTGACCCAATCACCCAAGTCCTGACCTGACCTTGTGTACTTGGGTAATTAGTGCTGCAGGAATAAGCAGGTTATTACTGGAGGAGTTTTAAGCGCTATTGTGTGTTGTATCGGTGGGATGTTATTACTGGCAGTAATCAAATGTTAAAAAATCAGACTGGTTGTACCGAAGTCGATCCATTGATCGACTTGGGTACAATCAGCCTACCAACACATGGATTGAATCTTGGCTGGTCCCTGCTGAACCAGCTGAATTTTGATTTATTTATGGCCGGCTTTAGGAGTAGAATAACTGAGAGCTGTTGTTCCACTCCCATCACCATTGTCTGACATGACCGATCCTGTTTATAGATGCCAATCATAAGAGGATGCATGACTGACCAAATGATCAGACAGAGGGTAACTATAACTTTCAGTTTAATAAACAGGTGCAAAGTAGAATCAATAATGAAAAATAGGGTCAGAATAGTAAAAAAAACATGCAAAGTAATATACAATAGATTAATAAAACTGCACAAACATGGATTCTTCATACCAACATCTCTGTGACTCTGTAAGAAACTAGTCAATAGTACGCATGTATGTATAGCACCCGCAGTATGTTATTTGCAGGGACACTTCCTGTCCTGTCTTTGGATTAGCATGATCAAAGAACTTCATTAGTATGCTGAAAAGCCAACAGTTCTGCATTCTAATTAAGATCATCTCTTTGTCTCCAAGGGCAGGTGAGAGGGTGTGTCAATTAAAAGCATAATGACCATGTTGTTTTCTTGAAGTCATGTTGCTTTGTTATGTTAATGCTGGCCATACATGGCAAATTTCATCATGAAAGGGACAAAACTTGTTCAGTAGGTGGCCCTGTTGGTGCCTTCCCACCTAACACCCTTAGACTGAAAAAACAAAGAAGCTGGGTGTAAAATTGTCACCTGAACAGTGCATGCATCCAATCAGGTGCAGGCACTATTCAGGTATTTTCACAGCTGGCGCTTAGTTGCATATACTGTAGTTCACATGAGTATTTTTTTATTCTGCATGCATACAATTCTTGAACCTTCCAGTGCTGTTCTCTCAAAACACAGTGAAGCTCAAGGGATAATGGCACTGGAAGGTTCAAGAATTGTTTGCATGCACCTGGATAGGCGTTTACATTTGTCATATATCGTCATCTATAGACGCAATTGATTGAGAACTTCATTTCATACCTTTATCATATTGTGACATTTTGTCAATTATTTTAATTTGTTCTCTTGTTTGCAATGTTCAGTATACTTGTATTTATGGTAATATCTTATTTATTGACAATACCGTTCAGTTGCGGGGTAGTGCAGCAGTGTTTTTTGGAAGTGCGGGAGTTAATTCTTACTGTAGGCCAGGAAAGGTGGCTGTCCTACCATAACTTGCCACATGCCCATCAGGAAAAGGTCCATGGCATAATCAGAGATTCCCGGCCATGTAAGTGAATTGGGCCAGTGATATCACTGGTTGTTAAGGACTCTTATGTGCCTGCACCCGCCAGCATCTCTAAAGCAGAACTATACTCACCTCCACTCCAGCACTACTGTGCCTTGAGCTCCTTCACCAACCTTTGACAACTTCGGATAGTCTTCTTCTGGGTTCTTCTGGGTTCTGTTCTTTAGGCATTTTGATTGGCCAGACTGAGATGACATCACTCCCAAGTTTGCATGGGAGCTCAATAATAATATAATATGTCTGTTCTACAACAAGAAAACTGCCTGTGTGCATTTTTTTGTTGTTTTAATTACAGTTCCACTCTAATGATTGAAAGAAGGAAGTTGTCATGTATAACAGTGGTAGCAATACTTCTATTATACATGATGCTTGGCTCCTGCTAAACAGGTAAATGTTTGGGCAAGGTTGTGAAAGAACCAACAAAGGTTTGATCCCAACTTGTGTTAAGATCAAATCTTAAAGATGCATTCCAAGTATGGATATTTTTACATAGCTACATTGGTTCAGCTTGGACCAATGTAAACATGTAAGTGTCTTACCCGTGGAACCCTTGTGAAAGTTGGAAATCACTGTAGGAGACACCACTGCTACAGTGATCTCCACTAGCTTCTGGGTCCTGTGCCAAACAACTGTCCAGCTGCTCAGTTGCCATTCAGGGATCGTTTTACATTTTCTAAATTAATGCAAAGCATTCTTTGATTGGATGAGGTGAAGATTGTGACATCACTGCCTCACCTCTCCACCCCATCCAATCACAGAATGTTGTGCATTCACGCAAACTGTTTTCTGAATGGCATCTGTGTGGGCGAACGACCTCTGTGTTCACAATGAAGCAGGACAGCTTCTCAGCACAAGACCTGAAAGCTAGTGAAGGTCACTGTAGTAGCAGTGCTTACTACAGGGATTTCAGGCTTCCAGTGGGATTAGCAAGGTATGGTATTTGCATACTTAGATTAGTCTAAATTGGATTAATGTAACTATGTAAACATTGCCATACCTGGAATTCCTCTTTATGCTCATTATTATTGAAGGTTAATTTAATATAAGGACTATTTTGATCTGGACAAATTATTTTGGTTGACTCTATCATCTTGAACCTTGAGAGACTTTATCTTGTGATATAAAAGGACTTTGGGATTTATTTCTAGATTTTTTACAAAATAAATTTTGTGATGACAGGTTGTAAATTATAATTGTTTGTTATTGTTAGTTAATAATATTTAGTGTCTTTATATCACTAGTGGTGGTGGGGTGTGTTGATTTACTTATACAGCAACGTGCTACATCTATTATTTAATAATTCACATTTATATCAATAGGGCTGGGCACATTTCAATGCAGCAGCTGGGGGTTTAGCATATATATTAGAGTGTCTCCTTTGTGCATTTGCTGTACGTTTCTAGTGTGGGCAATTTATTTAGAGTAGAAAGTTTCAAGTAATTGGTTTTCTGTCTGAGACAGCCAGTGTTAGCATCCCCTGCAAAGATTAGTGTCGTAGACATCCTGGAACAGGTAGAACAGAGAGAGTTTTTAACTTGAGTTCTGTCAGCCCCTGCTAAGTGGTGCTCAGTAAGGTCAGCTATGGTAGGAAGACCCAGTGGCTATCCTGCACAGTGTGGCTTGAAGACAATTCTGGCTGCTTCCTTGAGTTGGAAAACAATGTATTTGAAATGTGTATTTAAATACACGTGTCTATAAATATATACTATGTATATATACAGCAGGTAAAATAAGTATTGAACACGGCACCATTTTTCTCAGTAAATATACACTGCTCAAAAAAATTAAAAGAACACTTTTTAAGCACTTGCCAACTGCGCTACAGCCGAATGATGGCTACAGCGCGGTTGTCCAGATCTGGGAGGACGTCATAGGACATCCTCCCAGAATGCGCATCCGCACGTGCACCCGGCGATCTCCGCGATCGCTGTGTCCTATGACACAGCAGATCACTGGTAAATGCAGTTGCTGGTTATCGGCTGCACTTTCCTCACGCAGTCACAACGTGAGGAAAGTACTGCCGATAACCGGCAATTGTCAGAGGACGGATCGGCACCGATCATCAGTGCACTGATGATCAGTGTCCAGCAGTGCCACCCACCAGTGCTGCCCACCTGTGCCCAGCAGTGCCGCCCACAAGTGTCCAGCAGTGCCACCCACCTGTGCCCAGCAGTGCCACCCACATGTGCCCAGCAGTGCCAACCACCAGTGCCCCCCACCAGTGCCACCCATCAGTGCCCAAAAGTGCTGCCAGTCAGTGCCATCCATCAGTATTGCCCATCAGTGCCGCCTATCAGTGCCCATCACTGTTGCATATCAGTGCAGCATCATCAGTGCTGCCTCATTAGTGCCACCTATCAGTGCCCATCAGTGCTGTCTATCCATGCCACCTCATCAGTGCCCATCAGTGCTGCCTATCAGTGCCCATCAGTGCTACCTATCAGTGCAGCCTCATCAATGCACATCAGTGAAGGAGAAAAATGATCTGTTTGCAAAATGTTATAATAGAAACAAAGAAAAACTTTTTTTTGCTATTTTTTTGTTTATAGAGCAAAAAAAAAAAAAAACACCCAGCAGCGAGTAAATACTACCAAAGAAAGCTCTATTTGTGTGAAAAAAATGATAAACATTTCAATATGGGTACAGTTTTGCATGACCATGAATTGTCATTCAAAGTGTGACAGCGCTAAAAGCTGAAAATTGGCCTGGGCAGGAAGGGGGTATAATTTCCTGGTAGGCAAGTGGTTAATCAGAGTATAGCATCAAGTCAATTAATCTCCTGGGATATTGATCTGGCCAGTGAATTAGCAGAGGGGGTTGTTAATCAATTTCAGCTGCTTTGGTGTTAATGAAGTTAACAACAGGTGCACTAGATGGGCAACAATGAGACAACCCCTAAAACAGGAATGGTTTTACAGGTGGAGACCACTGACATATGTTTCTCTACTCATCTTTTCTGACTGTTTTTCATTAGTTTTGCATTTGGCTAGGGTCAGTGTCACTATTGGCAGCATGAGACGATACCTGGACCCTACAGAAGTTGCACAGGCAGTCTAACTCCTCCAGAGTGGCATATCAATATGTGCCATTGCCAGGAGGTTTGCTGTGTCTCCCAGCACAGTCTCAAGAGCATGGAGGAGATTCCAGGAGAAATGCAGTTACTCTAGGAGAGATAGACAGGGCCGTAGAAGGTCCTTAACCCATCAGCAGGTCTGGTATCTGCTCTTTTGTACAAGGAGGAACAGGATGAGCACTGCCAGAGCCCTACAAATTGACTTCCAGCAGGCCACTGGTGTGAATGTCTCTGACCAAACAATCAGAAACAGACTTCATGAGGGTGGCCTGAGGGCCTGACATCCTCTAGTGGGCCCTGTGCTCACTGCCTGGCACCATAGAGCTTGATTGGCATTTGCCATTAGCAGGACCGGTATGTGCTCCTTTGTGCAAGGAGGAACAAGATGAGCACTGCCAGAGCAATACAAAATGACCTCCAGCAGGCCACTGGTGTGAATGTCTCTGACCAAACAATCATAAACAGACTTCATGAGGGTGGGCCCTGTGCTCACTGCCCGGCAACTTAGAGCTTGATTGGCATTTGCCATTGAACACCGGAATTGGCAGGTCCGGCACTGGCACCCTGTGCTTTTTACATATGAGAGCAGGTTCACCCTGAGCACATGTGATAGACGTGAAAGGGTCTGGAGAAGCCGTGGAGAATATTATGCAGCCTATAATATTGTTCAGCATAACCGCTTTGGTGGTGGGTCAGTGATGGTCTAGGGAGGCATATCCATCGAGGGACGTACAGACCTCTACAGGCTAGACAATGGCACCCTGACTGCCATTAGGTATCGGGGTGAAATCCTTGGACCCTTTGTCAGACCCTACGCTGGTGCAGTGGGTCCTGGGTTCCTGCTAGTGCATGACAATGCCCGGCCTCATGTTGCGAGAGTATGAAGGCAGTTCCTGGAGAATAAAGGAATTGATACCATTGAATGGCCCCCACACTTGCCTGACCTAAATCCAATAGAAAACCTCTGGGATATCATGTTTTGGTCTATCTGACACCACCAGGTTGCACCTCAGACTGTCCATAAGCTCAGTGATGCCCTGGTCCAGATCTGGGAGGAAATGCCCCAGGACACCATCCGTCGTCTCATTAGGAGCATGCCCCAACATTGTCAGGCATGCATACAAGCACGTGGGGGCCATAAAAACTACTGAGTACCATTCTGAGTTGCTGCAAGGGAATTTCAGCAAAATGGACTAGCCTGCTGCATAATTTTTTCACTTTGATTTTCGGGGTGTTATTAAATTCAGTCTCCTCTGTAGGTTTATCATTTTCATTTCCATCAAACGATGGGACATCCTTGCGTTCCTAACACATTACCCAGTCCATATCAGTATAGATATCCAGCATGATATTTTTCCCCATTGAGATCTGATGTGTTTTCAAAGTGTTCCTTTAATTTTTTTGAGAAGTGTATTTCTAAAGATGCTATTGACATGACATGGTAAGAACCCATGCAAACCGTACATACAAAGAAACTAAAACAAATACTTTCAGACATCACGTTATGTGTAATAAAATGGAATAACACGGGGAAAAAGTATTGAACACATGAGGAAAGGGGGTGCAAAAAGGCAAAGCCAAGACATTAACTGAAATCTATCACTAATTAGAAAGCAATCCTGCCCTTTGTCAGTGCAAATTAATATCAACTGGTTCAGTCTCAACTGATTCCCTATAAAAAGGTCTCATTACCAAGGTGTCACACAAGAAACATCTCATGATGGTTAAAAGCACAGAGGTCTCTCCAAGACCTTTGCAACCTTATTGTTGCAAAACATATTGACTGCATTGTTTGCCGAAGGATTTCTAAACTTCTGATTGTTCCAGTGAGTACTATTGGGGCCATAATCCAGAAGTGGAAAGAACATTATTTCACTATAATCCAGCCACGACCAGGTGCTCCTCGCAAGATTTCTGACAGAGGAGTGAAAAGAATTATCAAAAGAATTGTCAATGAGCCAAGGACCACTTGTGGAAAGCTTCAGAAAGACCTAGAATTAGCAGGTACAATTGTTTAAAAGGAAACAATAAGTAATGCACTCAACCGTCATGGCCTGTATGCACACTCACCACGCAAGACTCCATTTCTGAAGAAAAAGCATGTTGAAGCTCGTTTAAAGTTTGCTGCACAACATTTAGACAAGCCTGTGAAATACTGAGAGAATATAGTCTGGTCAGATGAGACCAAAATTGAACACTTTGGATGCCATAATACACACCATGTTTGGAGGTCAAATGGCACTGCACATCACCCCCAAAAACACCATTTGGAGGTGGGAACATCATGATGTGGGGCTGTTTTTCAGCATACTGTACTGGCAAATATCATGTAATTGAAAGATGAATGGAAAAATGTACCAAAACATTCTTGATAAAATTCTGCTGCCATCTACCATTATGTCAAAACTTTTTTCTGAATGGTTTAGAACCCTATCAGAATGGAAAGGAAAAGACTCACGTGCTACCAAAAAATCAAACAAAAAATCAAGAGCTGCTGCCCACACCTAAATGTGTACCTACATGCAAAGTGGAATAAAAAAAATTGTACTGTGCGGTGTGGCTAAGTGACCAAAGAACCCTATCAGGCTTTTTTTCTGTCTGTATATTGTTGGGGAGATTTCCATTCACTTTCTATCCCAGAGACACAGCAGGAAGTAAGAGGAGAGCTCTCCAAAGTGAGGGGACATTCCCTTTAAGACAGTTATCACAAGAGAAGGTTTCCTCGTTGAAGAATTTCGAATCATCTTCTGTAACAAATAAACATTGGGGTGTAGAGCTGATCCTAAAAAGGTATTGTAACCAGGTAACCAGTGTATTCTGGGTTAAGATCCCCGAAACACCAAAAAACCTTCCCACACTACAGGACACCTTCCTCCTTCTTAAAACTGAGGATATTAATGAGATGATCCCTGGGAGTCCTATCCTACAGAGTGCCCTCTCTTGTGAAGTGTGGGTCAGGTGGGTATGGAGGAAAATTATCGGAAAACAAGGATCTCCTCAGCTGATTCCACAGAGTGAGTGGATGGAAATAAATAAAATTAAATAAATAAATTAAATTAAACTCCTCAAAAAGATGTGAAGTGGTAACTATATTTGAATGAGGTGCTACAATTCACCTCCCCAGAATATAGAATGTCTTGCAAATTGCAAAATATAATATGGTGAAACAAAATTATATTAAAATAGTGTATAGTGCTATAATACACCTCCCCCATTTAGGAAAATACAGGATGCAAATACAAATATTAATACACAATGTGCAATATACAATGAAAATATTATTAAGCAATGAAATAGTCTGTGCGTAGGTCAATTTCAAAACCATGTGCAAATATAGTCCATAAAACACATTTCTTATGCTTCAGTGCGCTGTGAGTGATAAATAGGACTGGTGCTTCCACCCGTGCTCCCCCTTTTCCACCGCACTCACCATAAAGTTAGACCCCTGTTTCCAGTGGGTCCAACACACTTTAGATAACTCTCCACTCCAATATAGGAATCGTTGATCTTCCATGTGCCAGACCATGAAGCTGTATGCCAGGACTTTGTGTTGGTACCGGACCGTAGGGAATATGCCAGCGAGAAAGGGAAGTTTCTATAGTGTAAAGCCTTTTTATTTAAAAAAGAAAAGTGCCAAAAACACACTTAGAATATAGCAAATAAGAAAGTGCCAAATAAACGACATGCATTCCACAGCCGAAAACCAGAAGCGGAAGTGATGTAAGCTAGCCCCGCCCAACACATTTTGACATTGTGACGTCAACAGGAGCACTACTTTGGTGAAAGTATTTTTTTAGAAAATGGTAAAAAAAGATAAATAATGTTAATAAAAAAATTTAATTATTGACAAAAATTTATTTGAATTTTTTTGCGGGTGTGGGTGAGCGGCGGCTCTGGGCAAAGCAACATTATTATTATTTATTAAAGCGCCAACAGAAGCGCTGTACAGCAAAGGGACCTTCGACAGTACGAAAACAATACAATGTGATACACGAGGGGGTTCGAGGGCCCTGCTCTTTCAAGCTTACAATCTAGGAGACATAAATCTTACGTCGCTTTCTATTTCCAGGTGTGCATGCGCATGCGTGTGCCCCACTCTGCCCCCTATGCTGTAACGTACACGACACCACTAAATTTTACACACGTGTTAGATTAGCACACCTAACTCTTTGGTCGCCCTTATTAATCCTTTGATCACCCTGTCACCCAGCCAGTGCCATTAGTACAGTCTCAGTATATAGAATTTTTCACTGATTATTTTATTACTGCCACTAGCGGCATCAGATAGCGTCAGGGTCAGTTAGAGCCCCTCCCAACCAGGGTCAGCTAGCGCTATATTGCCAGCCCTATCACACTCACGCTATAGGTCGCTGATCACCCCCATTACTATTATAGTGTTTGTACAGATCAATATATTGATCACAAACAGAAC